AATATGGAGCAAGAGGTGTCAGTTATCAGACACTGTTACATAAGCAAAATATTTATTAATCTCATTTATACCCCGCCCTCCCTGCAATGCAGGCTCAGGGCGGCTCACAATCAGTACATAAATACAATTAGAACAACATAATCCCCTAAAAACAATTTCATTATAGCTAATGCAGTTCCATTATAGCTAATACAATTAATAAATTAATGCAAGAGTGCTAATGTTTTAAGCATGTTTTTATTTTAAGTTAAAAAAAAAACTTCGTGTTTGTGTCCTTTATAAAGTTTATATCTCCGCTACCTGGCATTACATTTTATGACACACATGGCCTGGCCCAACAAGGTCTCATTTATGTCAGATTCAGCCCTCATAATAAATGAGTTCAACAGCCCTGACCTAGGTTATGGTCAAAAATAAGGTTTCTGTCATGGCTATTTGTGGGGCGGGGCTTTTAATTAAGGAGAAGGGCTCCAAAATGCCCCACTGTAGCTATGCTCCTGTTTAGAAGGGTATAACTGTGTTTAAGATTGACTGCAAGATTATTACATGTGGCTCTTAGACTAAACCTTAACAAATTCTAAGAAAGTCAGTCCCAACCAAAATTTTAGGAAAGTCAGTCCCAACCAAAGATTTCAGCGTAAGAACAGGACATGGATATGGAACTGACTTAAAAAAAAAATAATAATCCTTTTTATAACTGACTTTTAAGGAAAGCATTTGCACATAAACTTTAAGCATGCCCAGGGCATGTGGAGCCAGAAGACAAGGCAAATAGCACACTTCTCCACAGCAGCTGTTTTGCCTGGCAAAAAACAGCATGGGAGGGGAGCATGAAGGGCCTTCTTCTCTCCTGCAGTGTCTGGAGCTGCATGGGGTGAAAAGACACTTTTAAAGGTTAGGCCCCACTCTGATGTCTTAACTATGAGTCCGTTTGGGCACCCATGGCCTGACACGTGCCAAAGGTAATGTGTACTTTGGCTGTTACAGGCAAGCTTCAGTTTTCTAGTCCATAAAATAAATGTCAGGCTGTCTAAACTTTTACAGAACTTTTGTCAGGAGGAAATACAAGGTTATAATGCATGCTGCATCGTTTAAGTGATGAATACAGCATGGTCTTCTCCCATTTCTAAAAGGCCACCTACCATCGTAGACAGAAATCACACACGCCTTGTAAGGCATAGGAAGGCTGAAACAGGATTAAAGATCGAGTCTGGTGGCACCTTTAAGACCAACAAAGTTTTAGTCAAGGTATAAGCTTTCGGTGCAAAGCACACTTCCTCAGATACATTGAAATGGAAGTTACCAGTCCATACATATAGGCAGGGAGTGAGCAGCAGATTAGCATACAGCATAATAAAGGTGTTTAACAGATGCAAGGACCAAGCCTGGAATAACAAGCTTAGTTTATATAGCCACCATTTGTTCGGGTTTAATTCTGGGGGGGAGGGGGAGAAACAGAGTGAGGAGATAAATAGAATTGGAAATTGATGGGCAGATGTACCCTTCTTAACTGTGGAATGCTGAGAGAGTAATTAACTGAGGCACTGCTATCACGCTCCATGCATCTCCTCTCAAGCGTGGAGGCAGCCATACATACAGAACTCAAACTTCTTCAAAGGCCGTAGGTGGTGCAGGCACATTGAATACTGCCTTTCTGTCTCTCACAACAGTAGCAGAAGGGATGAAAAGCATGACCAGAATTCAGAATGGGTCTGTACAAAGTGAAGTAACTTGATTTCCTAAACTGAGGTCCCTGAGGGCCACCAGTTTAGTTGGCATCCCAGTGGCATCATAATTAATTCCTGTGGGGAACAGGAAAGGCCTGTATTTGGAGACCCTACTAGAGTGAAGGGGTGGGCTTCTCAGGGACCTCAAGGTCTCGACTTTCTAATTAAACTAGCCAGTATGGTATAGTGGTTAAGACCAGCGGACTCTGATCTAGAGAACCAGGTTTGATTCTCCACTCCTCCCCCACATGAAGCCAACTGAGTGACCTTGGGTCAGTCACAGTTCTCTCAGAGCTCTCTCAGCCCCACCTACCTCACAGGGTGTCTGCTGTAGAGAGGGGAAGGAGATTGTAAGCCGCTCTGAGACTCCTTTGGGTTGTGAAGAGCAGGGTAGAAAAACCAACTCTTCTTCTAATCAGGGGCTCTGAGGAGAGGGGTAAAATCTCAAAGGTACAGCTGCATGTGTGCGAGATTTTGTCCTGAGCTGTCCACCTTCTGTCAGTTCCACCCCAGAGGCAACAGGGCACAGCCAGATGCCAACCTCTGCCAGCCCCGCCTGTGCCCCCTTCAGCCTGTGCCCCTCCCACCAGACTCTACCTCCTGATCAAAGACCTGGAAACTCTAAGTGGCACAAATCCAGCCCTGGTACTGGGTATCCTATCCGTCAGTGATGGGAGGGTGCGCAACGTGTCCATTTGCCAGAGTGCACGGTGTAGTGTAGAGCCAGTATGGGCAGTGATCAGAGTGTCGCCCTGGGATCCTCAAGACCCGGGTTTGAATCCCCACTCTGCCATGGAAGCTTGCTGCGTGACCTTGGGCTGGTCACACTCTTTGCCTAACCTGCCTTACAGAGTTGTGGTAAGGATAACATGGAAGAGAGGGCCACAATGTAAACCACAGGCATGGGATAAAGGAAGTATTTATTTATTTATTTAGAGTTATATCTTGCCCTCCCCACATTGTAGGCTCAGGGCGGGTTCCAAACGTATAGATCTGCAGCCAGTGCAGACTTACAGTAAAACCATATTTCAAAAAAGTCAATAAAATCACAGCACTCCATAACAACAGCACGCCTCAAAAGACGTTGATGAATTCCTGCAATGCTGTGGTTCCACTCGGCTTCTAGGATCTGCGGTCACTGGAGAGGGGATCAGAATGAGGTGGATGCCTGCCGCCTCAATTAAAGGCATCAGAATGAGGTGGATGCCTGCCGCCTCAAAGGCCTGGTGGAAGAACTTCATCTTACAGGCCGTACAGAACTATAAGATGCCCCACAGGGCCCTGATTTCATAAGGTAGCTCATTCCACCAGACAGGGGGCCAGGGCTGAGAAGGCCCTGGCCCTGGTTGAGGCACGTCAGACATCCCTAGGCAGACTACCTGGAGATGCTGGTTTGTAGAACACAATATTCTATGGGGCTCATATGGGGAGAGACGGTCTTGAAGATATGTAGGCCCCTGGTCGTATAGGTAGATAGTATATAAAGGGGTGTCTGTGTTAATTCATTGCAGCAAAAGCAAAGCACCATCCTGTGGCATTCTGAAGACTGAACAAATTGGATTCTTGCAGAAGTGTTCATGGACTACAGTCCATACCTACACCTCTCGAAGATGTTGTTTTATGACTGCAAAAAACAAACAGCAAGATCAACAAGTCATGAAATGCATGAAGTGGTGGCCAAAATGTGATTTATGCAAAATTCAGATCTTATCAGGGAAAATGCCCAGACCGTTCAGAAGTTATACCACGAGCACCAGGTTCAAATGGCCAGGGAATATCACTGGGTGACTTTGGGGCACTCATACTCGATTTCTCTCTCTGAGCTTAACCTGGTTTACAGGTTCACCTGGGTAGCCGTGTTGGTCTGAAGCAGTAGAACAAAGTTTGAGTCCAGTGGCACTTTTAAGTCCAACAAAGTTTTATTCAAGGTATAAGCTTTCGTGTGCATGCACACTTCTTCAGACACAGATATTTATTTCCGTCACTATGCTTGCCCACCCCGACCCCGGAATTAAACCAAAACAAATGATAACCATATAAACTAAGCTTGTTATTCCTGTCTGATCCTTGAATCTGTCAAACATCTCCATTACGCTGTATGCTAATTCCCGCTCACTGTCTACCTACATATGTGCCCTGGTCATTTCCACTTCATTGTGTCTGAGGAAGTGTGCCCTGCACACGAAAGCTCATACCTTGAATAAAACATTGTTGGTCTTCAAGGTGCCACTGGAGTCAAACTTTGTTCTGCTGCCTCACAGGCTTATTGTGATGAGAAGGGAGCACTCCCTGGAGAAGACCCTGATGCTGGGAAAGATTGAAGGTCAAAGAAGACGGGGACGGCAAAGGATGAGATGGTTAGACAGTGTCATAGATGCAACGAACATGAAGTTGAGCCAACTTCAGAGGACGGCGGAAGACAGGAGGGCCTGGCGGGAGATGATCCATGGGGTCGCGAAGAGTCGGACTCGACTGTGCGACTGAACAACAACAACAACAAAAACTCAGGGAAGGAAGAATCCAAGCATGCCGCCGGAGGCTCCTTGAAAGCAGGGTGGCAGGAAGAAGAAGAGAAAGAAGAGAAAGAAGAAGAGATTGGATTTATACCCCACCCTTCACTACCCAAAGGTGTCTCACAGCGGTTTACAAACTCCTTTCCCTTCCCCTCCCCACAACAGACACCCTGTGAGGTGGGTGGGGCTGAGAGAGCTCTTGACAGAAAGTGCTCTTTTTCAAGGACAGCTGTGCCAGAGCTTGTGACTGACCCAAGGTCACATCAGCAGGTGCAAGTGGAGGAGTGGGGGAATCAAACCCGGTTCTCCCAGATTAGAGTCCACGCACTTAACCACTACACCAAACTGGCTCTCGTACTTAGAAAACGTACTTCGCTCTGTGCGCAAAGGTCTGCGCTCCCGGGAAGTCTGTCCACACACACTCTGGCTCTCCCCCGCCTGCCCCCCTCCAGGCTGCCCCCGCGCGTCCGCCTTCACTCTCCCTCCCCTGCTTCCACCCCCTGTCTGGAGGCTGGAGCGCCTCTCTCGCTGCGTGGGAAGCGCGCATTGGCGCAGCGCTCTCCGCCCTTCCCGGCTCAGTGGGGGAAAGCGAACGGAGCGGAGGCGGAACCAGGGGCCCGACGACACCACCGAGGCAGCCTCTCCTGCCGCCGCTCCTCCTTATCAAGAGCTGGAGAAGGCGGGACCAGCCCCTTTTCTTCCCCCTTGCAGAAGTTGCAATCGAGAGACAAGCCGTTGCAGCCGCCCTGGTCGTCGGAGAGAAAGCCTCGAGACCTGTCATTGGGACGGAGCCCCTGGCGCCGGCCGCTCGTCGTTTTCCAACCGGATCAGGTAAATAGCGACCGGATCTCGGGTGTCTTTTGTCCGTCGCCCTTCTGCGTTCGTGGCTGGGGTGGGTAGTTCCTTATTCTTTTGTTGCAAATCCTTGAGACTTAAAAGTCGTGGGAATAACGCTCCGTTTGATGGTTTCCTAGCTTTTGGTTAGCATTTCCTCTCCTGCCTCCCGTCCACCTTTTTTTTTGGGGGGGGGGTATCTCCTTTGTTCCCCCTCCCAGAGTGCAGAAATCAAAATGGAACTGAAAGCCGCTCCCTGCCCGATTGAATGGGGTTTAAAATCTGATCGGTCGCGGTCCCTTCTCGGCGACGATGACTCCTTTTCATCCCTCGCTTGAATAGTCATAACGCGTCCACGGCTTTGTCTGCACAATCGGAGGGGGAAACGGAAGGGTGTCGCCCCCCTTCTCCGCTCCTATTTCGCAGTTAATGGGGTGAATGCGTGGTAGTTCTTACAGACGTATCTAACGCCGCCGCTGCCGTTTGAATCGAAGCAAAGATGTGTCGGATTTACGCTGCAAACGGAGGAGCCCGCCGTTGCGAGCTGGGCGATCCGTATGTGCCCTGGGGGTGCAGGTGCCGGGAAAGCCAGTCGCTGCATTGGCCTTGACCGCTGTGCGACTGAGATCTGTCAAGGCGTCCGAGAGCCCCCCCACACACACACAACTGTCCTCCGACTAGAAAGACCTTTTCCCTTTAAGCAGAACGCTTCCATTGTAGTATCCTTTTTGCCATCTCCAAACAAAATCTGGTCGCTTCAAACATAATCTGTAACTTCTCTTGGTATTCTGCTAGGGCAAGTCAGATGCTGCAAAATGCCTGGTTTTTTTTAGCAGCTCCGGAGCCTGGGGAAAATGAGAAAGGGATTATTTCCTACCTGTCTGCCTCTTTTAGTAATGTCTTCCTTCTCTGTGTGTCTCTCTTGGCATTTCACCAAGTGAGTTTATATTGGGTGTGTTCACCAGTAAAAATCCCTAGTAGTACACAGTCAAATGCTCAGTAGCTGGTATGTCTAACTGATCTGTGATTATTTCAGTATCTCACCCCAGCACATTCCTT